AGATAAAATTGAAAAAACAATGCAACAAGAATTACCCTGCCCATAGCCAGCTAGCAAAGATTGTTAAAGGTATAGAGAGAATGTGGTTATTTTATGAGCTGGGCAAAAGGATGTGAAATGACCCTTGATAAGAAAATTTGTTTTTAGTCTGGACAGGGGAGAAATAGTAAGAGTATGGAAATCAAACAAGTTGTAGCATGAGAGAAAACAAAGTCTGAAATGGAAATAATGCAAAGAAAGAGGAAGGTAAAAAGGGCTAAGAGAAGAGAAGGAAAATATGTGACTTGAAATACACTATAGTATAAAATCTTGTGACTTAGTATGTACAAACTTGCTGATCAAGAAATGAATGTTAAAAAGCTAAGCAGGAGATGAAATATCACAAATCATTGAGAAGACCACAGTGGATTTTGTGTCAGTAGCCTCTTGTATTTACCACTTTTTTTTTTCTGGATCTGACTCTGGTGATATCAGATGTTGACCCTGTTTGAACTTAGGCAACCTGTTGGATACTTCCAGGGATCTGCTGTCCCTGGATGTCTCCTTCTGTTGTTAATCTAGTCACTCTGCACTCAGCAGTCAGGTTTAAGCACCATAGGGCTGGTTCAAATCCTTCCTGAGTTGGGGGCTATTGTTTCCCCTCTCAGGCTGCTGCTGCTCAGAGGAAAGTGGTATGCCTAAGCAGGATGGCTGCTGCCTTATGGGGGTTGGCTCAGTACCAAGATCCAGGCAGCTACTCTCAGTTCTCTCTCCAAGGCCTCCATCTTCAGTCTCTCCTCAAGTCTCTCTATTCCACTCTACACTGCCCCCCTGCCCACTTTGCCAGTGATCTACTGTCTCTGGTTCTCTCCTTCAGTTTTTAATATAGTCACTAGTACTCAGCAGTCAGGCTTGAGCACCAAAGGGCCAGGACACAGAGACCTTCCTGGTTTCAGGGCTATTGTTTCCCCTCAGGCTGCTACTGCTCAGAGGGGAGTGGTCTGCCTGAGCTCAAAGGCTTCTACTGTCTGGGGGATGACTCAGACTGGGGTCCTGGCAGCTACTCTCTCAGTTCTCTCCCCAAGGCTTCTATCCCCAGTATCTCCTCAGGCACCTGCAGCCCACTCTGCCCCTGCCTCTGCCAGAGCCAGGGTAAGTGGCTGCAAATGAAAATTTGTGTGTTGGTTCTTCAAGCAGCCTTTGCAACTCCAGCAGTCTGTCTCTGTCAGAGAGCAACACTGCTGCTTTACACTGCCAGTTGTTATCTGTGTACATTTTGGGGCTCTGGTGCTCTAGGCTGGGGATCCCAGCTTAGGGTTTAGACCCCATTCTTCTCAGAGGAATCCAACCAGCTGCTTAATTATCTCTCTGACACTGCCATCCATGGGCATCTAGCCAGTCCTCTCAAATCTCTACCACAATTCTTACCAGACAGGTAGTGCTAAAGCTGGTTCTTCTGTCTGTCCAAAGTTATATGGCTTCTCTCTGGCTATTGCTCAGTTGTTTGTTCCAGGTGGTTTCTCCACAATTGAGTTGTAATTCCAGATTGGCCCTGGGAGGTGGTCGGTGTGACTTCCATTCACTCCTCTGCCATCTTCCTTCTGTAGGTTGGCTGAATCTTATTTCAAGACTTGGAAATAAGTCATGACTTTCCCAAGTCCTTGGGGGTAGCACAGAACATGTCCAAAAATGTTTGCATTGAGTCTGCTTTTAGATGGCAGCCATCATAATAGACTTAAGCACCCCTAATAAGGAACAAGTGGACTTTTACACAGCAAAGCAGCACAAGACGGTAAGGACACAGGACCTAGATTCAGTCAAACTGGTCTCCTCTTTTCTTCCCACCTTCCCTCTATATCCTACCAACACTCTGAGGTCCAGGTCAAGGTCTTTTTCCTCCTTATGGCTGTCACAGGCTAGTTAGCTAACTGGCTATTGCCTTTTTTGAGATCCTCCTGGCCTGGAAGCCCACTCTTTCCTCTAGTCCTTTCTTAAATGGGTTCATGTGATGGGGTTCTGCCTTTGCAGTCATATCCTCTATTCCATCCATAGGGCCCATTCTCAGGAGGACAGACCTGGAGAAGAAGTACAAGCAGTCCTTGGATTGGGGTTCCACACTCCTTGGGCAGGATATTCTAGGGTACTTGGTATCTAGAGTATGGTTTAGAAGGAAAGAAGTGAAGGCTCCAAAAAGGCACATCTTGCCCCACTGACTCTTAACTATTGAAGGAAGAGAGTCTCCAGAGGAGGGCCAGATACTGACACTCTAAAAGCAGGGCCTCAGGTGGAGGCCTTTTCTGCTCAGATCTGAGATAATGTCCTTAGGCATAGTGCTTAACCTCTCTGTTTAATTTATTCATATACAAAATGGAAATGAAAATACCTTCTTTGCAGTTGTTGTTAGGAGCATAAAATGAGATAATGGCTGTGAAACACCTTCCCCTTTTCAGATATTCTAAAGATTTCTGGAACCATTTCCATCAAGGTAGAGAAAAATAGCTTCCATTCAGGATGTTTCAATCTTCTTAAGATTGAACACAATATATCCAAATGTTTTACCAATTGCATGCTCCTTTTTAAAGTTTTTAGAGCTTTCTACTGATATACTTTAGAGATGCAAGGACAATGACTTGCTAAGGGTCACTCAGTTACTTTATAACAAGAGTGAAATGCTCTGCCTCTCTCACTCCATCTTGTTCAAGCCGGCTTTGTTCCCTTGGTTGATAGCTTCTTGTATATAGACATGCTAAGCATTGGAGAAATTCTGCTTGAGTTTTGAGGTCTAAAAAGAGAGACTATTGCAAGAGGGTGACTCTCCCCAAGGAGATAAGGGTAGTATGTATTGTTTATCAAAGATTTATGGAAACCTTGTGACTTGGACCCGTATCAGCTAGGGTCAATAGACTAAGCACAATCTTCCTTGGAGCTCTGCTGACACCCAGATTTCTGTGGTCATCAATTACCTTTCGGTCTCTCATTTCCCTTTCCACTGACATAAAAGAAGCCTTAAATCTGTAGTTTAGGATGGATTTAAGGATTAGGTCTCCCATTTTCTCAGCTGGAGAGTTCTTGATTAAAAAGACTTTCCTTACTCCAAACTCTGATGTTTTGAGTTTGGGCCTTTTGAAGCACTGGACACACAGACCTTGGACCAGTAACACATTCTAGGTCTAGCACTGGGCCTAACATCTCATGTCCCTCACAGTGTTCTCTCTAGCAGACCCAAACAATTATATTTTGGATTTTCTGGTACCAAATATACATACTTCTGAGAAGATAGAATAATGTGACAGAAGAGCAAGTGAAATAAAATGAGATGCAATGAGGGTTTTTATTCTTTCCTCATAATCCAGTGAGGTCTTTATTCTGCCTCACAAAGGGGCATCACAACTTATAGAAAACAAAAATACATGTTTATGTCTCCTTGTTATTTTTCGATCGTTACCTCTGAAAGCTATGCAATTTTTATTGCCAAATTTATGACTTTTACCAAAGACTGAATTGAGGTTAAAAGATAACCAATATCTGCTGAAGACTTTATATAAGTTAAGTGCTTCTTGCCAAATGTTATAATTTCGAATTCCCAATAGTCAATTATATGGGGTGTATGTTATTATTCCCTTCTTACAGATGAAGAAACAATTGAGGAGCCTGCAGCAGTGCAACTTCTTGGCAAATACCACTACCAGGGCTCTGGAATCAAACATTATTTTTTCCCCATTTTGAATTCTTTTCCCCAAATGAAATTCTAACAATGATAATAATCACTTTACTTTTAAAGCACTTACTATATGCCAGCCATTATTTTCAAGACTGCACATGCATTAACTCATTTTTTAATGTTTGAAACCTGCTTATTAGTCTTATTGATTTCTACCAATAAAAGAGCCCAAGCACCCAAAGTAGCAAAATTAATTGGCTAGACAATACAGGGACATGTGTCTGCTGTCATCTATCCCATCATTTGCAAGTGTGACAAAAATATTGAATTCCAAAAGATACAGCTTAAGAGATTGTGTCCTTTGATAAAGTTTACAAGTATGAATTCATTCCCTTAAATGTCATAAGTTGATTTGTTCCTGAGTTTGCTTTAGTGAGCTTTTCTCCAAGTTTTTTGGTTCCTGCTAACACCAACATCAAAACTTCAAGTATTCACATTTTGTGACCCTTTCCAAGTAAGTAGGAATACCCTTCTATTATTGTTTCTCTGGTGAAGCTGATTCTGAAAATGTAGTCTGGGTGGCTTGAAGTTTTATTTTGAGATGACCATAGCATCTTCTTTGTAAATATACTTTTTATTTTTTTCAATTACTGTGGAGATTCAATATTATATTAGTTTAAGGTGTACATCATACTGGTTAGATATGTATATAACTTACAAAGTTAGGCCCCCATAGGTCTAGTACCCACCTGGCACTACACATAGTTATTACAATGTTATTGACTATATTCCCTTATGCTACATTTGACATCCCTAGACTAGTTTGTAACTGCCATTTTGTACTAGTTAACTAAAGTAATTTTATCTTTGTCTTTCCTGACTAAAAGATACACATGCACAATCTTAGTGTGTGTGTATGTATAGTGTATGTATGTACGTATTAAAAATAAAGTAAAAACTAGAATAAAAAACTCGGTCCTGTCCCAGGATTTTTATTTTTACAACCCGCTGCCAAACCCACACAGCCCCACAACAGCAACAACCAAGGACCAGATTGCAGATGAAATGGAGGCTAGAGGTGGGGCGACAGCTGTAGGTGTTCTTAATGCTAGCAGCAGAAGGCAGGAAGAGAATTCTGGAAAGAAGCAGAAAAGTTTAGTAGCTCCAGAAAAAGATGCAGCCCCTCCTTAGTAACCAGAGAAAGGCAAATGAAAAATTTCCCCTTGGGATACTCAAAAACAAAAAAGCCTGACAAGACCTACAGAGAGGAGGGATCAAGAGCCGGCTTACTTATGCCGCGCTTTTGCTGAGAGTGGAAATTAGGAAACCGAGCTCACTGGTGACGTACAGCTCACATGACCAAGAGTCGACGTGTACAGAAGTCCTACTAGTCTGCTCCTTGTTCCTGTCTGGATACCAGCTTCCTTCTGCAGCGTGATGGCCGATGCCTGAGGCGAGGGAAGGCAAAGGAGTCAATTGGCTGGAATTTTGCAGGTTGGTGTCAAAATATCCAGGGTAGTGGTGGCCTAGGGCAGGGACCTGGTCAAATCACCTCTTCACCTCCCATCTCCGCGTCGGCAGGAAATTACGACCTTTTGGAAATGGGGCCACTAAGGGTCTGGGGAGAGAGGGAGACTTGTGGCAATTTAAAAATAATCCTCTGCCTTCTCAGAGCACACACCCAACACCCACCCTTCCCCCAACCCCTGCTTCAGTTTTAACGCTGCTTTTCCTACTACCTATCTGATGGGAAATTCAAGCTCACTCACACTGTGGAGAAGGGGATAAGGGGGGGGGGAGGGAGAAACAGAGGTGAAAAAGTTTTCATAACCAAGAACCTTAATGAGGGAAAGTGTGCATTGCTGATTACCAAGCATTGGCCCCACCTCCATTCCTCCACTCCCTCCTCCCTCTCCCATCCCTTCCCCTCCCGTTTGCCATTTGTTCGCAGATCTGCAGATCTGTTGTCCACAACCCTGCACAACTGCTAGAAAAGACAAGAAACTGACTGGATCAGTACTGGTAGGTGAGGGGAATATAAATAAGCCTGGGGTGGAGGTGGGCGAGGGCGAGACTGAGGTGTGGGCCCCCCCCCCTTCCTCACTCCGCACCCCACCCTGCTTTCAGACTACTCTGTTCTCGGAGGGTCTTGTGTTATGCCCTGTGCAATAAAGTAGTTGAGGAGGGCCTTGGAAATGGCTGGAGGGAGGAGCAACAGAGAGGTGAGGTGTTGGAAAATGCAGGTAAGAGGGGTAGGTTCAGGGAAGCCCTGATTGCTGAGTGGGTCTCCTGGGTGGAAGATATTGGATGATAGCTCATAAACAAACAGAGAAAGCAAATACTAAGATCTCTGTCCAGAGCACGGGCCCAGACACCAAGCTTTTGACTTACACCATCTCCTTCTTGCTCCCTAGAAGCAATTATATTCAAAGAAAAATAAACAGGAAAAAAAGAAAGGAAGAGAAAAAAGAGGAAAGGAAGGAAGAGAACAGACACAAAATGAAATCCTGTCAAAAAATTGAAGGAAAACCAGAAAATGAAAGTGAACCAAAGCTTGAGGAAGAGCCAAAATCTGAGGAAAAGCCAGAGGAGGAGGAAGAACCAGAGGAGGAAAAAAAAACAGAAGGAACATTTAGAGAAAAGCTGATTCAGTCTCTCCAGGAATTTAAAGAAGATATATACAATAGGCATTTAAGCAAGGATGATATGGTTAGAGAAGTAAATGAATTAGATGAGATAAGGAGAGTAAGAAACAAACTTATAGTGATGCGTTGGAAGGTTAATCGAAACCACCCTTACCCTTATTTGATGTAGGTTACCTTTATTTTTATTTTTTCTCATATTAACGTTGCCATATAGCTTTCTTTAGATTTGCATTTTCATGATAAACCTTTGTTCATATTTCTAGTTTTAATGCATTACTATAATGGTGGTTTTTAAATGTATCTCTTGCTTCTACATCTCATTGTTGATTATATTTTGAACAAATCTTAAAGTGTATACTTTTTAATAGGAGAGAGAGCTTTACTCATTTGTACAAAAAAAGGTTCCCGACAGGATATAAAATGAAAAAAATGTTACTAAAAATATGTGACTATCATATTTTTAAAAGAAAAGGGTACATTTGTATATTAAATATATGCACAGAAAAATATGTGAGGGATAAAAGAAAAGTACATTAAGTGGTAGGATTTATGAGTGTTTTTTAAAATTCTGCTTACTTGTATTTTTTCTTATTCTTAGAATGTACATGCATTGTTAAAATAATAAAAGTTTTATAACAAAAATAAATAATCACTAGCACTTATCAATTTATTTCTAAAGGCAGTGAGATGCTTTATATCTGTTGATAGGATATCTGTGAAATAGAGAAAATAATGATCTCTAAGGCGCCTTGTGAGGACCAAATATGATAATCACTGAGCTTTATTTGACCTGTTTTTTAACCCATCTGCCCATGCAGGAGCCCAACTTCCAAAAGATTTGTTTGAACTATTTGGGAGGGTAGAGACAGTTCTCACCTATGCTTAAGAACAAATCCAGGCCAACTGTTAGTGTTGTACCACTTTTATGTTCCTCTCCTGCTGTACCTACCTAACTGCCCATCCCATCCCCTTGATACTACCATATATATTGGCTATTACTGCCCTTTCATCCAGGTTCTGTACTTTTCAGGCCCCTATTGCTGTTGATACTTTGGGATTCTCAAATAGTGTAACACAATACATTTCTTCAGTAGGCTGAATTCCTAGAATGACCTCTGCAGATGTGGAAGAATGCCCATTTTTTCAATTTAGACAGACATGCAGGACCACTTGGGTCATGATATAGCTACCTTGACAACTGGGATTTTAATCATGGACCCCCTCTTGCCCATAAGAGTCAGAATGGGTCAATTTGGGGTTTGGACCAGAAGACAAGTCTGAGTAACAGACATTATGCTTTCTCTGAGTCTAAATATGGTTTTATCTTCCTGACTCTTATTTCCTTAGGGTGAATGATCTCTTCCAGAAGAGATCTCTTCCACTTCCAGAAGTGGACTGGTGGCAAGTCCACTTCACCAGTTAAACAGATACCCTTAGACATGTATAAATTGTAAAGGGATATTAAAGACAGATTTGGACATATTCCCACCCTTACCTGGAAACATGGAAGTGCTATGTAGAATAGTATAACTATATCTATATGTTAATCTGCATATCTATATATGTATCTGGCTCACAGTTGTGTTCTTTTCTTTTTTCTTTGTGATGCTTTTTTAGAGGGGCAATTCATGTCTCTAGGGTGTTCTTCCAATTTGCAACAGCCTGATGGTTGCTGGTCTACCTGCATTCCAGCTGGAGTGAAATGAGGGTCCAGGGGCTCACTGTGGCAGTTTTACAAACAAGATGAACCCATCCTATATCTAGATGTTTGAATATATTTTTTCATTGCTTTTAGAGAGAGAGAGACAGACAGACAGACACTGATTGTTGATCTAACTCACAAACTAGGTATGTGCCCTGACCAGGAATTGAACCCATGACCTTTTGGTGTATGGGATGACATTCCAATCAACTAAACCACACTGACCAGGGCTACAAATATTAAATTGTAATATTTAATTACAATTTATTTATTTACATGTGCATTAGTGAACACTCTGTGTAAGGCAAATGATGATAGTTTAGAGTTAGGATAGTATTGTAAATTTTCCTTTTCAAAAAAGTATTCACATTAAATAAGTGAGTGACTTTGAAGATAATAATAAAGTAGAACACAATATTAATAGCATAGGTGGTATACCAATATGGCAAAAATCCTGGTTGGAAACATTGCCTTAGCATAATTGATTTAGGGATAATATCTGGAAACACCTGTCAAAAACTGTGCAGTCTATGATTTTACCCTACTTATAATTTAACAGGTTAACTGCTACTGGTTAATGGATAATGGCAGAAGACAGTAGAATCCCAGGTCAGGGACAAAGGACATTATTACTCATGGCAAAAGTACTGTCTAGTGTTTCATACTGGTTTGTATCACTTATCCATGATCTTCGGGCTCCATGGGGTAGCACAGGGCCCATTATATATACATGCACATGTAGTGCATTGTGTTGCAGAAAGAAACCCTGAGTTTAGAGAATTCACCACTTTTTTAGTAAACAGAAGCAAGTTTTCTCTTTGTCCAGTGAAAAACATTGAGCAACATCCCTCATAACATGCACGATGCTCAGGACCCAAGGCAGATTGCCTCTTGCATTAAGCTTCTCTGTGCAATAAACCTTAATGTGAATGACAAATCTTTCCTAATATCTCAAATTTTGACTTCCAATTCCAAGTTAAATAAAGCAAATAATTCATTACACTGTAGAGTGTAGGGTATGTGTAACTCTCTTCAGTTTTTACTTAAATACATAGGATATTGAATGAATCCTAAATAACTGAATGAAAACATCAACCAAAAGTAAATAGTCTATAAACTTCAAAGTTACAGAAACACATAGCTACCCTGATGCACAAAAGAAAAGAAGTAGAGGAACAATAATAATGAATTTACCATGATGCTAATGACAGGAGTAATCTTGTGCAAAATTTTGCACAGTAAACTGACAGGAAAGTGTATGTGTTTGAAAGTGAGACCAGATGCCCTATATCACTGCTCCTTCTACAAAACAAAAAGACAAAAGCTAAGAGAAAAGCTGATTTGTTCCTTTTGCAAGAAAAGTTCAAGGTTAGGGTAAAGTTTGAGGAGGATCACTCACAGGTAGCAGTATCCAAAAGCAGATATGTATCTGATATTCTGACAAAAGCATTTTGCAAAACCCTTAGCAAAAACAATTGCATCATTTGATGGATAATTTGGTTAGATATGGAACATATTTTTGTGTACTTATTGGCCATTTTTATGTCTTTCTTTGAGAAATGTCTATTCAAATATTTTGCCTGAATCTCTTTTAATATTTTTGGTGTAGGGTAAGGAATCTGCTTAAAGGAATGAGTTAGATGCATACGTGCAACAAGTTTACCATGTGTCAGTAAAGGAAAAATGAAGGACAGGAGGTACAGTGCAATATATACACACACATACATACACATACCTACAAATAACATGAAGCCCTTTAGCTCACTAAAAGAAAGAATCACATTTTCTTAAGTGGCATTTTGATATCTTACTTTGATATCCAAGCCTCCTGCTGTCTGATTAAGAAATAACTATTTTTACAATTTTTTATCCTAATGGATAATGCTATTACCCTTGCATTATAACTGTGAGAATAGTTTTTTGGACTTCTTCCCTTCTATAAACTTGGTTCTTTTTCAGATCTTATGTCACTAACCTACTATTTAATAGAAAAGGAAAGTGAAGCATTGAGAAATTGTTGTGTCTAAGGCAACCCATTTATTAAGTGGAATGCTTGCCTAAGGCCAAAGCCCTTGCTCCTAATCTCTACTCTGCAACAGTTGGTTTTTAATAAGTAGTATCAACAACAAAAACACTGTTGTGCTGAATGAATTCCCACCATCTCCTCAAAGCTCATGCTCTTTCAAGTCCTGGTCTTGGTTCCCACATTTATCCCCATCTGAAACATTCTCTCAACCACTCTTCACACACTCAGCCTGAATAACTTCTTATCATATCAATAATAGTGGTTAATTCTTTTAAAGAAATTCCTTCTATTATTTTTAATGTGCTGTTTATTTTTATTGGATTTATTGGGGTGTCATTGGTTAATAAAATATGGGTTTCAGGTGTACAATTCTATAACACATCATCTGTATATTGTATTGTGTGCTCCCCACCCCAAGTCAAGTCTCCTTTAATCACCATTTATCCCCCTATACTCTCTTCTGCCCCCTGACCCCCTTTCCCTTGGTAATCACCATACTATTGTCTGTGTCTATGAGGGTTTTTATCATTTTTTTTGCTTAATCCCTTCACATTTTTCACTGAGCTCTGCAGTCACTCTCCCCTCTGACAGCTGTCATTCTGTTCTCCATCTATAGTCTATTTCTACTTTGTTCGTTAGTTTATTTTGTTCATTAGATTCCACATATGAGTGAAATCATATGGTACTTGTCTTCCTCTGACTGGCTTATTTCACTTAGCATAATGCTCTCCAGGTCCATCCATACTGTCACAAAGTAGAATTTTCTTCTTTTTTAAGGCTGAATAGTATTCCATTGTATAAATGTACCACAGCTTTTTTATCTTCTCATCTACTGATGGACACTTGGGATATTTCTAAATCTTGGTTATTGTAAATAATGCTGCAATTAACATAGGGGTGCATATATTTTTTTGAATTAGTGTTTCAGGTTTCTCTTTTTATTGTTTTTCAGTTACAGTTGTTCTGCCTTTTTCCCCATTGCTCTCCCCAACCCCACCCCCCACTCCAATAGTCAAACCCCCCATTGTCCATGCCCATGAGTCCCCTATTAATATTCCTTAACTTGACACTTCCTCTTCTTTCCTCTGTTATCCCCCTTCCCCATCCCCTCTGGTCACTGTCAGTTTATTCTTTATTTCCAAGTCTCTGGTTCTATTTGGCTCATTTGTTTGTTTTATTGATTAGGCTCCACTTATAAGTGAGATCATAGGGTATTTGTCTTTCACCTCCTGGCTTATTTCACTTAGCATAATGCTCTCCAGTTCCATCCATGCTGTCACAAAGGGTAGGAATCATTCTTTCTTTCTGCTGCTTAGTATTTAATTGTGTAAATGTACCATAGTTTTTTTAATCCATTCATTTACAGATGGGCACTTAGGCTGTTTCCAGCACTTGGCTATTGTAAATTGTGCTGCTATGAACATTGGGGTGCATAGACTCTTTTAAATTGGTGATTCAAGATTCTTAGGGTATAGTTGCAGCAGTGGGATCGCTGGATTGAAAGGTAGTTCCATCTTCATTTTTTTGAGACAATTCCATACCGTTTTCCACAATGGCTGCACCTGTCTGCATTCCCACAATCAGTGTAGTAGGGTTCCCTTTTCTCTACAACCTTGCCAGCACTTAGTGTTTCAGGTTTCTTCAGATATAACCCAGAAGCGGGTCAAAGGGCAGTTCCATTTTCCTTTTTTTTTTTTAAGGAAACTCCATACTGCTTTCCACAGTAGCTGTACCAAATTTGCATTCCTACCAATAGTGCATGAGGATTCCCTTTTCTCCACATCTTCATTGACACTTGTTTGTTGATTATTGATGATAGCCATTCTAACAGTTACGACAGCTTTAAAAAAACTTTATTGAGATTTAATTCATACACCACACAATTCACCCACTTAAAGTATACAATTTAATGGTTTTTAGTATATATGCAGTTAGGTGCAACTTATCACCACAGTCAATTTTAGAACATGTTTAAGTAAAAAAGAAACAACATACCTTTAGCTATGACTCCTCCCCTATGTCTCTATTGCTTCAATTCTAAGTGAACACTAATCTACCTTCTGTGTCTATAGATTTCACAATTCTGGATATTATCTAAAAATGTCTTCATAAAAATGTGTTCTTTTACAGTTGGCTTCTTTCACTTAACATATTTATAAGATTCATCCATTGTATTGCATGTTTTTCTTTATTTTTAATTGCTGAACAATAGTTTATTGCATGGATGTGCCACATTTGTTTATCTATTAATCCATTTATGGATATTTGAGCTGTTTGCATTTTTTGCTTACTATGAATAGTGTACTATGAACATTCATAAATTTTGTGAAGATGTATGTTCTTATTTCTCTTGGATAGATATCTAAGCATTGAACTACTGGGTCATACAGTAACTTTATGCTTAATCATTTCAGGACCTGCCATACTGTTTTTCAAACTAGCTAACCATTTTACATTCCCACTAGCAGTGGGTAGGTTTTCCAATTTCCCCATATCCTTGACAACACTTTTTATTCCTGACTTTCTACTTTTTAAAATTTGTATTATTGTTCAATTATGGTTGTCCCCATTTTTCCCTGTTACTTTCCCCTGCCTTACCCACCCCCACTTCTCACATTAATCCCTGCCCTGTTGTCACTGTCCATGGGTCCTTTATACATATTTCTTGACCCTTCCTTTCTGATTCTAACCATTTTAGCAGGGGTGAAGAGTTTTTAATTTTAATTCTATTTTATTCTTGCCTTTTAAGGTATTATTTTTTAAATTTGATTATAGTTAGTATTGAAGTGGTTGTTAAGATATTCTGAAAGAGATTGCAATGAATTGTTAGATTAATATGAGGATTATTGCCATTTTAACAGTATTAAAAAGTTCAATTAATAAACATGAATCTTTTCTATTCAGTTGCATTTTATTTAATTTTTTCAAGACTGTTTTGTAAATTTATACTCAAGACTAGAGTATAAATTTTTAAATTTATACTCTGCCCTTATTAAATTTATTTCTAAGTACAGGCTCCAGCACAAATAATGCCCCTTTTTAAATACAAAATATTTTATTACAAAATCATAATCATGTAATTCTGTAACATAACAATATCACACTGAAGGGCACTATATGATATTTTAGGTGAAGTGTTCAAATTAAAACTATAAATTATTACACCTTTATTATTACCCTACCAACCATACTCAAGCGGGCACTACTTCTGCTGGACCCTGTATTTTCTTATTTTTGATGCTATTATAAATAGAACTGTTTTCTTAATCCTTTTAAGATTGTTCATTGCAAGTGTATAGGAATATAATTTTTTTGTATATTAATCCTGGATCCTGTAAGCATACTGAATTTGTTTGTTAGTTCTATTAGTTTTTATCAGTGAATTCCATAAGACTTTCTATGTATAAGATCAGGTCACCTGTAAATTGATGATTTTACTTCTTAGTTTTCAATCTGAATGGCTTTTATTCCTTTTTCTTTCCCGATTGTCCTGGTTAGAATATCTAGTGCAATATTAAATAGAAGTGGTAATAGCACATATCTTTGTCTTGTTCCTGATCCTAGGAGCAAGGCATCTCATGTCTCACCATTAAGTATGATGTCAGCTAAGGGTTTTTCATAATGCCCTTTATCATGTTGAAGAAGTTCTTGATTTGGAAATATTAAATGAAACTTGAATTATGGAATAAATCCCACTTGGTTCTGATATAGAATTGTTTTTATATGTTGTTGATTTGTTTTCCTAGCATTTTGCTGAGGATTATTGCATGCATATTTGTAAGAAATACTATATTTTTGTCATATCTTTCTCTGGTTTCGGTAACAGGATAACAATGCTTGTTGTATAAAATGAAATGAGTGTTCTTTTGTTTTTTTAGAAGAACTTCTGAAGGATTCTTTTTTTAAATGTTTGGTAGAATTTAGCAGTAAAGCCATGTGTTCTAGGCTTTTTTTGTGTGTGCATAGTTTTTTTATTATTATTACTAATTCAGTCTTGTTATAAGTCTATTGAGACTATCCAATTTCTTCTTCAGATTGTTTTGGTAGTTTGTATTTTTTCCAGGAATTTGTCTAATTCATCCAAGTTATCCAGTACAATGGTATACATTTCATTACTCCTTTATAACCCTTTTTATTATCTATAAGTTCAGTACTAATGACCCCTCTTTCATTTCTGATTCTAGTAAATTGAGTTATTATCTATCTCCCTCTCTCTATCTCTAACTCTACCTTTATCTCTCATCAAGCTATCTAAAGCTTTTTCAATATTCTTGATTTTTTTAAAGAACCAACTTTGATTTTACTAATATTCTCTAATCTTTTTCCATTCTGTATTTCACTAACTTCTGCTCTTATTATTTCCTTCTTTCTGTTTTCTTTATTTTTAGTTCACTTTTCTCCCAGTATCTTAGGTGGAAAGTTAGGATATTGAGTTAAGATCTTTCACCTTTTTCAGTACAGGCATTTACAGGTATTATCTTTCCCTCTCAGTGCAAGTTTAGCTTGATCCCATAAGTTGTGCTTCAACCTACCAAAGGTCCATCCCATAAATATTGGTATGCCGTATGTTGTGTTTCATTTTCATTCACCTCAAAGTATATTCTGATTTCCATCTTAATTTTTTGTTTGATGCATTGTCTATTTAAGAATTTTACTTAGTTTCCAAATATTTGTGAGGTTCTTATTTTTTCTATTATTGATATGAATTTTTAGTCCTTTGTGGTCAGAGAACATATATTATTTCTAATTCTTTATTTTTTTACATTTTATTTTATTTATTTTTAGAGAGAGAGGAAGGAAAGGAGAAAGAAAGGAAGAGAAACATCAGTGTGTGCTTGCCTCTCACATGTCCCCTACTGGGGACCTGGCCCTCAACCAGAGCATGTGCCCTGACTGGGAATTGAGCTGGTGACCCTTTGGTTCACAGGCTGGCACTCAATCCACTGAGCCACACCAGCTAGGGCCATACATTTTCTTGAATAGGTATTTCTTCATTTGATATATGCCCTTAAGACCATTTCCAGAGGCTTTAAATTTTTTTAATATAATTTTTACCTGTGTCACTGGAGATCAGATTCACAAAGCTCTTCACTCTGTCTACCAGAAATTGATTTCCTAGGTATTACTTTTTCCTGGAAGACTTCACTGGCAACTGAATTAATTCTTCTTACTCAGCGCTCCAAGTGCCCCTCAGTACTTACCACACTCTCCTTCTGGTTTTCTTCCATTAAACCATGAACTCCATGAGAATAGGAAGGCTGTATCTGCCTTGTTGTCCTTATATCTTTGGAGTCAAAGTTATATCTTGGGAAAGAAAGAGTTATATCTTGGGAATCAAAGCTCCTAAATATGGTACTGAGATTGAAATGTGGGAAGGGCTGGCAAGGCCTAGCAGAGCAAAAAGGGGGTCAAACAATAAACGGATAAAATAATTAATAAAATATAAATTTTGGGATTTATTAATTGAGTAGAGGTTAAGAACATGGACTTAGGAAAAAGAACAAATATGTTTGAATTCCTACTCCACTACTTATTTTTTTTCTTAGCCTCACTGTCCTGAAATTCTCTGGTATGTAAAATGAGGAATAATCTTAGCATCCACTTCAAAGAACTTGGAGAATGAATATACATATACAACAATGACTGTCACATATCTGCATTTATATAACTGCGATTTTACTTTATTTTCATCTCCATTTATATTTAAGAAAATTAGAATAAGTCTGTACATTCTATCTCATAACCTGAATCTAAAAGAAAAATAATTAATGACTTTTCATTCTACTTGCAAAAAGAATACATTTTCCTTGGATAAATTGGAAGACAGAGATAATCACCACCTGAGGAGCAGCATCAGAAATGCATCTTTAACTTTAAAGATGAAGACAACTAAATGGGAGTGGATGAGGGAGGAACGGGAGCACCAAATCACCAGGTATAGGTTTCTAAGTGTAAAATGCAGCACAAGATACTGTCATGCTGCTAAAGCCTGAGTCTCAGATTCATGATAGCAAATGTAGTTCCTGATTCAGGAGATGTGGTAGAATTGTAAAGAAGGAAGAAGGAAGAGAGAAAGGGAAAAGATGTGTGTGTGTGTGTGTGTGTGTGTGTGTATGTGTGTGTGTGTGAGAGAGAGGGAGAGAAAGAGAATTTACTCTCTATTAGAGATACATAAAAACCATCTGTACTACCAACACATAAAAAGTATCAGTTTTACTAGTCTTTAAAAATAATTTCTTACATATTCTCATGTCTACATAATTTTTGTAGACTATTTGAAATATGTAAAAAATGCAAATCAGAAGATTTATGATTTTGGCCTATCACTCATCACCACAAGAGCCCAAAGAAGTTCTAAATAAATTGTTAGTGTATTTACTTTGATTTTACAGTCAGTGTGTGTAAACATACACAAGGTAGGTAGAGATGGATGGATAGACAGACAGACAGACAGACAAGGTCTTAGTTCACAAAATTATGGAGGCTGGTAATTTTCACAGTGTGCTGCCTGCAAGTTGGACAACCAGGAAAGCCAGTGGTATAGTTCAAAGGTCTAAGAGCTGGAGAGCAGTATGTAGATGCCAGTCTGAATTAGAAGTCTTAAAAGTCAGGTACACCAAAACAGAAGATCAACAACCCAGCTCAACTGGTCTGGCAAAAAGTGAATACAATCTTCCTCTACCCTTTAGTTACATTCAGGCCCTCAATGCATTGGATGGTGCCCATCATCTGAGGGCCATTTGCTTACTCAGTTCACCAATTAAAATGCTAAGCTTTTCCAGAAACACCCTCACAGACACACCCAGAAATGTTTAACCAGATATATGGGCATCCCATGGACCAGTGGACATAAAATTAACCACCACTGCCTCCTGTCCTGTGTTTACTCAGATAGAGAGTTTGGAGGAGAAGTAAAAAGACATTCTTTACCTGACTACTTACGGTAATATTGCTATCCCCATGTGATTAATCATCACTGTGGCCCAAGTCTGATTTTTATAGAGCCTTCTGATAAGGATTCGCACCCATGCAGCTCCCTTAGATTTTGGTGGCATGTTGGAAGATTGAGCCATATTTTGCATTTGAGTCCCAGCTGATGACTCTCACATAGCATTAGTGTGATTCATAGATCTCTTTCCCCTACTCTGTAACAGGTTCTGGTAAGCCTGTATATTAATTCCCCTCGCCCCAGCAACAGTTCTAGAGCCTATAGCCATGGTAGGATTTCTTTTTCATGCTTCCAGAATTGGGAATTTTGGTAAGGAGTTAAGTCTAGCTCTTTTTCCACCTGGCCACACCACCACATCATCTCTGCAAAAATGTTCTTTCCAGGTTTCTATACCATCTAGGTAGCTAAAAATCCCAGTGATGAAGCAGATATCTAGGAGAATAATGAGAAGTTACCATTTTGTAGATATCCCTAAACTTTATGTACAATGCTTTTAGGATGCCACTCCCTTAGCTTTGGGGAAGGGAGCCAATCAAGTACCACTGTCTACCATAGTTACAGGAGATGAGGAGAGGGGAATAAGTTATTTTTATAAACACTGTACTTCCCCAAATGTGAGCCCAGTCTCCTCCTTCTCACTACTAGACTACTCTTCTATTATTTTTTAAGATGTGTTTATTTATTTGTTTTTAGACAGAGGGGAAGGGAGGGAGAAAGAGAGGGAGAGAAACACCAATGTGTGGTTGTCTCTCACACACTCCTAGTGGGGACCTGGCCCACAAACCAGGCATATGTCCTGATTGGGAATCGAAATGTCGACCCTTTGATTCCCAGGCCAGCATTCAATCCACTGAGCCATACCAGCCAGGGTATAACAACCAACTTTTTATACGAGGTCTGTCCAGAAGGTATCCAGCCATGTAATATGAGAAATAAAGACATTTATTGGTGAATATACAAGATACAAGAAACATTTTACATACAGCAATGATGGCTCAGTCCCCTTCAAAGTAGGCACCTTGAGACCTCACACAGTCCTCCCAATCACCATCACCTGCCCCATCCTATTTTCCTGAATCTCATTGGCAGTCTAAAATCTCTTCTTTTTGAAAGGTGACTTTAGTTTTGGGAAAAGCCAGAAGTTGCAGGGTGCCCAATCTGGGCTTCAGGGGGGCTGAGTCATCTGGGTAATTTGATGTTTCACAAAAAAACTCTGCATGAGATGTGATGCATGAGTGGACACATTGTCTTGATGAAGCTGCCAATCACCAGTTGCCCATAGCTGTGGCCTTCTGAATTATCCAAATAGTTTCTGTGGTGGAATGTTCAAACTTAAGGCAAAATCTGATGCAGATTCACTGTTTTACTCACTCAGTCATTTTGAATGCAACAGCCACACAGTATACATGCTCACTCAACAGTGTCTACTGCCCCTGCTGACTAGTAGAGTGAAGTCATCATTGTTCACACATGTGCATTCCAGTCTACTCTCCTTGGCTGCCAGGTTATATGATGTCACACAAACCATTCTCATTATATTAACAATGGCTAGACTTTTCTTTTTCTGGACATACTATACACACACAAACACACACACACATATTATATATCTCCAAAATCTCAAACTACAGATGCACTAGGCATATACTCTTCTTTCATTTAATGTCCAAGCTATTTAGTTAGATAGTAGATTACATAGGAGTTTGGAGCCAGATTTAGAGGCAGTAAGCATTTGGCTTGTCTTGCTTTAGTGCATATATCTCTTTTGGTTCCTCTATTGCAGGCAACACTTACTAAATATTTTTAAATAAGAGGCCACTCTGCTAAAGACATCTCTATTTTCTAGCTGTGAGAATTTCTTAGCTATCTCAAGTTGGAGAAAGAAATATTTACACTTAAGGTGAGTTTCGATCTCAAGTTTAGTTGTTT